TTTAAAAAAAAAAAAAAAAAAAAGTTTAAAAAATTGTGTTCAAATCCCTAACCAACTCACTAATAAGTGATCTTAAATAGAGGAAACACGCTGATTTTTTCTGAAATCCAGGGATTTATAGTACAAGATCAAGACTTATTTTATACTACAGAAAGCATCAGACCAGCAGACTGCTTAAGAGAAGGGCTTTTCTCACTGAGATGCACTCGTGTTCCTGAGGGATTGCCATTTAAGCAAACCACCCACATTTATTGTTTGCATACTCACAAGCTTATTTACATGCAGTCATATCTCAGCGGAGCTCATTTTAAACAAATACTGAAAACTTGTTCGAATAGGGTGTAGAGAGTTTCTACAAATTTATCATTTAATGCAATAAAAGCTATGTCCTGAGCTGACGTTTTGGACAATACAGTGTCTTCACATCGCTTTTGTCCCTCTGTGGCACCGCTGCAGTGATCGAGAGATGAAAAATACAGTGGGAGGAACTTCAAACTGCCAATCATTTCAAAACACCGCCCATACAACTCATCATTAATCTAACATTAACATTGGGGTAAAACTGTGTTTTCAAATGAGCTTCAACAGCTTTTACAAAAATTATACCAACATAATCGTTATGATTAAAGTCAATAAAGTGAAATAAAACATGCATTTGGAAGACACTTTTATTATCTTCTTTGAATTTAAGGTAGATGCACTGTCATTTTAGTATCAAGACACTATTATAGTTTTTATTATTAATATCAATATCATATAGACTATATAGAATTTTTTTAATTAAAATCAGTTTTCATTTTTGTTAAATTTAGCATTTTGTAATTTTAAAGTTTTTTTGTATTTTTATTTCAGCTAACATTTATTTTACAGAATTTACAAAAGTTTTAGTACAAAAAAGGGTTTTGATTGTAGTTTCAATTTTTGCTAACTATAATAACCCTTAGCATACATTTTAGCAGTTCATAATGAACATCAACTATATGCTATAGATTTTTACAGCATTTATTAACCTTTATTAATGATAAATAACTAAGTTAGTTCACAGTGCGCTTACTAATGTAACCAGATACAACTTTTGATATTACAAATGCATTAGTAAATGTTGAGATTAACATGAACTAAGATTCATAAATGCTGTAGAAGTATTGTTCATGGTTAGTTCATTTTAACTGATTCAGTTAACTCATGTTAACAAATAAAATCTTTTTGTAAAGTTTTACCAGCATCTTTAATTGATGAACTAATCTGGATATTGAGGGGAACATGTCTCCCCAAATTTCTATGGTGGTTACAGCCCCAAATCTGAGGCTAAACTTGGTAATCACAGTGAGTGTGCAAACTCTGGTGGACAGGATGATGTTGCCATTTTTTATGAGTGTCGGGTGCTTTTGGCATCATGGGATTCCTCTGCCTTGATCGGAGGTTGATGCAGGGAGCATATGGTTATTGATTCGGCTCTCAGGGGGAGTCTGAGCACCCATCATAATCAATAGGAGGATGAAAACAACTGCATGGAGCCAAAGCCTTTGCTTCCTGTGAGCACAGCACATTCTGGAGACTCAGGAGGATGCACATAAAACACAACCACTAACCTTTTTTAAACTCCTCCAGCATGGCATCCAGCTTAGTGTCGTGGAAGACGAAATGCACCGGGTGGTTGTAGAACTTGGTGACCGTTTTAAGCGTGGTGCAGTCGTCGGGGTCGACGAAGGCCAGGTCTTTGACGTACAGGATGTCCACGATGTTGGAGCGCTCGGTGTCATACACGGGTATCCGTGTGTAGCCGCTTTCCATGATCTCAGACATGGTGTTGAAGTCCAACACGGCGTCGGTGTGAATCATGAAGCAGTTGCTCAGTGGCGTCATCACATCCTCAACCGTCTTGGTTCTGAGTTCCAGAGCACCTTGTATGATGTTCAGCTCTTCCTTGACCAGATCGTTGTAGGGTTCGGTGACCTTCAGCATCTCCACCAGCTTCTCGCGGTTGTAGACGGTGCCGATTTCCTGCCCGAGAATGTAGTCCAAAAGCTTACTGACGGGGAACGACAAGGGGAAGGTCAGGAGCATGAAAAACTTGGTCAACATGATGGTGTTGGCGCCTACGGCCAAACCGTGGCGCGAGCAGAGCGCTTGTGGCACGATTTCACCAAATATGACAATGCCAACAGTAGATGCCACCACGGCTCCCAACCCCGACCCAATCAAATCATCTAGCAGGATCGTCAAAGTTGTGTTGACCAGCACATTACCCAACAATAAAGAGCAAAGCAGATAGTTGCCCTTGCTTCGAATGGGTTCGATTTTGCGTGCATACTTCTTTTCCTTATTAGTTCCACAGCTTTGCACAATGCGAAGCTCCATTGGATCCAACGCCATGAGCCCCAGGTTGAGTCCGCTGAACATGCCAGACAGCACCAGCAAGCCTGAAACCAGGATGATTTGGAGCCAAAGCGGTAGAAGAGATTCTTTCTCCTCTACAACTAACAATCTTCCATCATTTTCACCCAGCTGGACCCATCTGTCTCCCAAACCCTGCCTGACACATAGACTGTAGGTCTTTTCTCGTTCACTCTTACGCAGTGGCTTCACATACACACTCACCAGACCTGATGTTCCTCTGTTGCTCACGTTCATGAAGGTGCTGATGCTCAGGTCTTTGGTGAAATCCTCACAAGTGCTGTTTAACGCGTCGCTGTCCTCCGTATCCACGTACTCCGTGAACCTGATGTGGGATGCTGAGTCTGGGCTCAGGTGCACCCCATAAAACCTGAGCAGGACGCTGCTCTCCTCCGTTACCTGGATGAGCCCGTCCTCCGTCGTGCTGGCCGCTTTGTCGCTCCTCTCCAGCCGCATGCCCAGGATCTGACTGCTGGAGCCGGGGCTCGACGTCTCCGTCCGCCCGCCGACAGAGCTCCAGAGGAACACTATGAAAGTTAGAAGACACCCCTGTCCACTCCGCTCTGTCGCCATGTTTGTTGCGCTCTCTCCGCAAGGCTGGACCTTACGTCACGTCATCGCTGCCACAAGCGGGCCCCGCCCCCTTATTTGCATAATGCAAAATTGCGCAACGCCCACTTTCAATATAGTGGAAATAATTAGTAACAATGTTGAATTAAAGAAACTTTCATATGTGTAATGCTTATTTAAAATACATAACGTTAGGGCTTTAGAGATGAACGTCTCAAGGTAGTAGTTATTTATGATAAATTGTGGTAATAAGTTTAAATACATTTAAGCATTTAACATTTTAACGATGAACTATATATTTTTCTGCCGTCTTCATTTATTTTTTTTGCTCGCGGCACAGTGTTGTAGCGCGTGGAGTTGTTATGTAACAGCACGAGCCTTGTCCCCTACCCTTCACCACACAGTGGTGCATTTCATCACAAAATTAAATGGTAAAAAAGAAAGAAAGTATATAGAATAAGTTTTATTTTGAAAAAGATCATAATCATTTCTGGCAGGACTTTGATGACAATTAAAACACATTTCAACCTCAATTCCTTTGCTATAGCACTTAAATAATTGATTATTTATTCATTTTTTATCATCAATATAAATTAAAACCAGTAGAATAAATAATATCATTATGTTTAAATATTAATTAAAAGTAAATAAATAAACTGCAATAAGCTGCCATAATGTAATAACATCACCAGTGTTGGGGAAAGTTACTTTTAAAAGTAATGCATTACAATATTGCGTTACTCCAAAAAAAAGTAACTAATTACGGTACTTAGTTACTTTTAATGGAAAGTAATGCGTTACGTTTCTTTTGCGTTTCTTTTTAAATCTGGACAGGGCTTGCTTGTTTGTTTAAAAAAAAAAAGTTATATTTTTGGC